AGTTTGTGTGGCCAAGCTATACTGTGTTGTTCAGGAAGAAGAAACATGTCCTGAAAGGAAGACTGAGGTCTTTCTGTCTGACCCAAACACAAATGCCTTTTGAAGTTTACATTGATCAAGAATAATTTTATAGGTATTTGAAGTCTGGTTCTTAATGTAGTCTTCAATCTCTCAAAAACTCCCTCTACCTGCAGCAATTATTGTGTTCTGTATCTCTGCTTTGCAAACAGGTAGCTGTTACAAAACTAGTTCTTCAGCCTTCTTGAAAGCTCCCCTTCATTTTGCATCTTTTAAAAGATGATGTTGAGGATCTCTTTATATTTCTGCAAAAGCTGCGCATATCAGAAATAAAATACTTGGGATTTTTGGAAGTGCTTGAGAAAGCAGAAGCAGGTGCAGGCTGAGACCAGCAGCAGTGTCTAAATGGAGCATCTATGGACACAGTGCAGAACTGTCCTCAAGCCTTGGTGCAGCCATGAGAAGGGACAGGCAAAGAAGAGAGAGCAGAAATTATAATGGCAGCTAAATTTCTGAAGTGCAGAGAGATTACACACAGACCTGGGAGAATAGGTGAAGAGCAGATATGGGCTATGGCCTGCGTTAGATGGCCCAAATAAATACGGTTATTACAGGCAGGAGGGCAGAGGACTGTGATTCCATTGTCTCTCGGGAAGTTTTCTTAAATTTGCAAGAAATGACAGTGTTCACATTTAAACCTAACCACCTGAGATTTTTTTCAGACTCTTTGAGTGTACTGAAACTTCCTTATTCTCTGCAGATCAGTACAGGACAAATGGTAATTGTCTACCTAGAGTTTTACTGGTAGCTGGCTTCTCAGAATTGTATGACCCAAAATAGGCACAGTTATTTTATTTCTCCTGTTTTGCCATCTCTTGCAGTGTATTCTGCATATTAGGGAAGAAAGATCACTTGCAAACATGTACAGTGTCAAACCTCATCCTTTTTGTTTCTTCTATTGCTGTTGCATTTGACGAGACATCCACATAGAGATAATGGAAGAGAAAAAGAAACCACATTTGCAAGGGAAATAGATTCTAGTTTAAGCTTCCAAGGCATTATTATAAACAGGGAGAAAAAATATTTTGAAGATTATGAGAAGTACCTTGTCAGTGTCCTTTTAAGTAGAGCAACTACTAATGCATATAGTTACAGAATTGTGTGAAATGTAGCTTTTTAATAGGTGCTATAGGTACAGTATTTTATAATCATCTCCTAAATGGTACATTATATAGCCTCCCTTTTCCACCTCCCCTCCCTCCAATAAGAAAAAGTGTTATTGTAGATCACCTTCTTCCATGAATGATCAAGAAAATCCTGTGCACAGAACACTGTCTGATGTTCAACCCATGCAATTGTCCCTTTACAGGCCTTTGGAGAAATGTCTATCACCTTGTACATGAGTGTGTAAAGACCTCTGGTGACATCTGTCACAGTGATTGTCAGGGAGGGAGCAGTGTCTGCAGGGCCACCACGGTCCTTGACCCAGGGTGGAGCAGGCAGGACATCTCCACAACAGGCAAAATAGCAGTTTGGATGAAGAAGAGGGAACAGCATAGGCTAGCTATGCTGCTGATTGGGAGTAAGGAGTGGGGCAGGGATCCCACTGTGCTTCAATCATGCACAGCCCTCACTCAAGCTATGACAAAGCTGCAATTTAGTCAACCTTCATTTACCACTTACAACACTTTTGCAGCAGCTTTATTATAAGATCTGTCAGGAGTCTGCTTTTGTAAGCCGGGCAAGAGTGGTGTGGCCTCGCACTTGAGGTACAAACAACTGTAATTAAATCCTGTCAGGTGCCACTGAAAATTTCAGGAGTCAGGAAGAAGGATATGCTCCTCAGGGATGCTCCTGGGCTGGACCGTGAGCTGGACTTTCATGAGATACTGACTGTTTAGGGCTATAAAAGTTGCAGGGGTAGAGCTGAAATGTGATACAATTTCTGTTTATTACTTTCCAATAAAACCTCTGATTTTTATCACTTGTTATTCTTACTGCTTTCTTGCTATTTTCTTTCTAGGTATTAGGAGATAATATTCTATGTTTTGCTTAAAAATTCCCATGTGTGATTTCAGGAGTAGATTCAAACCTCAAACATCACAGTTAGTGCCCCTAAGTGTCCACCTAAGATAATTATTATTTTTTTATCATAGGTACTGATTGCAAATGAAAAGGCCATAGAGGCACTTTGAGGAAGAATAGTCACTTGGAGGGACAATTTTGTTAGCACTGAGTGCTGGAGGATCTGTTTCCACCTAGGAATTAAGTTTTATTTCAAGTTACAAGAGAACTCTGGGGGGGAAAAGAAGAATAGAAGCCCTACTATTTTAAAATTGTCATTATTCCCTCTGAGATCATGGTTTTCGTGTTAACAGTCACAGAAGAAATGTAATTTTTGCTTTCATTTATTTTGGTTATTTATTGTAAACCACTGCTTATGTCAGAAGTATGTACTTAATTTTAAATGTGAATGCTAAAATTAATCAATATTAAATAAACATGTTGTCTTAATTAACAGCTCTTTGAAACGTCACAGATCTTGTTCCTCCTCTTTTGTGCACTCCCAGTAGAATTTTCAAATTTTATTAATAATACTTGACATAACCTAACTCCGCTACTTGTGAATATAGTCAGCCGCCCTTGTTGTCTTACAACTTTTCCTGCACCTGCTGAAAAATGTGGTTTGTTTTAAAGCTGAATTGTGTATATTTCTGATATACTTTGGATTTTGACTGCAACTGTGAAAATCCTTATCATGTTGTCAGTGTCTGGGGATTCTTTTTTTTTTTTTTTTTTTTTTTTGCTTTAGTCATTTTATGGAAAGTGTGAATTTGACAAGATACAGTTTCTAGCTAACTTCCAGTAAGTGCATATTTTAACTAGTTTCATACTCTGAGTTTTTCTCATATATACTTTCTTAAACTTATTTTTCACAATTTGCATTTTTAAAAATATTAGGATCTTTTTAAACAGGTATATAGTTATTTCTGGAGTACTCAAACTGTCTTGAATATTCAAATAGAACATAGAATTTTGTTCCATAAACATTTGACCTACAGATTTATATATAAGACGTTTTCTCAATAGAAGAATGTGTGGTACAGGAGAGAGAATGTTTGCCTCTATCAAGAGGGGAATTAAAGCATGGCCAGTAATGATTGTGTGCGTTTAATGAAAAACTTGGTCTTATATTTATGCTAGAGGTGCACACAAATGGACACCTGCAGGCAAGGCAGGCACTTCATCAAACGATTTCCTTCTCAAAAGACCCCCGTCTTGCAAACATCAGACAGAAGGGTGGATGGGCAGGTAGTCTGCTGGTAGGTGGGTGGTAGATTGATAGGCAGAGATTCATAAGAGCAAAACAATGGAAATAATCGAAGTAGTGATGATGATAAGTGGTATTGTCCTTTTAAATGAATTGATAGTAACCCCATCATGTCTAATTTTCTCCCTAGCCACCTTCCTTTTTAAAGTGTATTTGCCTCCCTTCCAAAGATACTAAATATCTCATCCTTCATATGGAGATAATTTGGGAGTTTAGTTTCCAACAACTGTGTGTATTGGACAATTTTTCTACATTACGCTTTTCAGTATTGTGCCGTATATGAATGGGTGATTAACCCTCACCGTTATGGGAAAGTTCAAGAGAAGGGTTATACTGACTGGGAGTGATAAATTAAGCTCATCCCAGATATTAATGCTGACAATAAAATGGGAAAGTTTCACATTTCACATAAAAGGGCCAAATAAACAAGAGTGTGGCCAGATGTTTTTTCTGTTCTCCTCTCCTGCTGTTTTCTTTGAACACCCACTGAGCTGGTAGTGTGCTCGTAAGTTCTGTGATTTCTTTTTCTGTTGTAACCTTTTAGCTGCTGCAATATCAAACTATATTGCCTTTTTCTTGCAAACCTCATCGTTCTAACAAGTCCTTCATGCAGACGTTCCTGGGCTGAATTCTCTGCTGATCTCACTACAAATATTTCAACTTCAGAGTTTAAGTATCTGCTTATCTTTGGTGGGTTCAGAACAAGAGATTTTCTTTTAAACGGAAATTAACTTTGTACTTGAACTGGACATCGACCAGAGGAATTGTCAACATTTGCTTAACAGTAAATAGCACTGTGTGCAACTGGGAAGTTGTGTGTCTAGCTGCCCTCCCAGAAGAATCCTGTTAGAACTTATTTTACCTAAAACCTTGAACCTCAGTAAAGACAGAGGCAGCAGCAGCTCCAGGCAGAACCTGGACCTGAAAGGTGCTCAGTGCAGTAAGGAGGAAGGGCAATGCACAGAAACAGCTCTTGGGGAGCTGGGGCCACAGCTAGCAAATGAGAGATAAAATGTGTATTGTGGGAAAACAAAAGCTGGAATTTTCCTGTGCTGCTCTCCCAGGATTCCCAGATTTTCCCCACATCCTACGAGTCTCCTCCGAGTTGCCTCTAGGCAAACCAGCCCTGGCTACATGTCACTGTCCTTAACTTGCATGGTATGAGATTCCAGAGTGGATCCTGGCTTTATAAACTCACCTGGAATACTGTGTCCATACACAGGCATGTTCTCACACTTTTGTCTTATCAACCTCTAAAGAGCCCCAGGTACTTCTGACATAAGTAGTAAATAACTTAATTCCTCTGACCTCAGAAACAAATCTGACCATTTTCCTGGTGGACTCTGTTTCTAGAATAGCCTTTGTTCTCCTTTATCACCCACTGAAGAGAATGCTAAGTCCTCTATGGGTTTGACTAGACCTGCTGGCTTTCCTTAATGACTCAAGAAACGGGGATAAAATAGATGACTTTGTATACTATTTCTCATCCCCAGTGAAATATGCAGCTGTATTTCACTATCCATGCTCGTGGTATACAGCCAGTGGCTCCCATATGCAGGTAGTGCTAGTTTATGTCCAGAGTCACATTAAAGTACTCTATTACAAAATCTGGTAACATGTTTTAAAATGATTGCACATGTATTGTTTTCAGATTCTGATTGCCAGTATCATGTGCAGCTATAGCCGGGAGGACTGGACTGAACTTTCAAAAATGGCCGAGGTAACGGTTTCCTAATTGTGTTTCTGCATCTTTTTTTTATTCTCCTTAAAAACAAGAGCTGCAATAAAGGATTTCTTGAAAGAAATAGATTCAAAGTGAAAAATGAGAATTTAAAGCATGTCCATTATAATTTGTTTATTCTGTATTTTCATTAAAATGATGGAAATGTAAATTTAAAGGAAATTTGTTCCATAAAAATGGTCCCTTGGATTTTTAAGCAGTACCTGGAAAGCCTTTAGTCTTTGAATCTATATACTTTTTATTTGCATTTTAAGCAAACTGTATATTATGACAGATGCCCTGATAAAATTTAATTCTACCTTTGAGAGCCTAACTTGATCTTACCTTGCCTACAGGCACACCACTTTGACAGCACCAGAAGAAATTTTGAATATAAAACTCTTGAATATTTAAAGTATAAAAAGGCTCATTTAATGCTATTCTAGTTTTAATACAGACTTTCAAAAATGATAGCAGTGAAAACCAGCATATATAATAGCAGTGAGTGGACTTCCTATAATGTAAATCCAATCTTACACAAATGCAAACAGACTATGCACCTGAAATTTTGCTTCAATTTGATGGAAAAAAAATTTAAGTACATGTAGGTGTGTCCATAGGGAATAGTATATTAAATACTTGATTAAGACCACAATAATTTCATTCAGAAAGGTGTCTATATCTGAGACATTTGTTATTTTTAAATAAAACTACTTTTTCCACTTGAAGTATCTAAATGACACAAAAAGTGTCATTTCAGACCAATAAAGGAAAGTTTTAACAAATTTGAGCAAATAAAAACCATTTGTTTGTCATTATTGCTTGCATTAACTCTGATTTAAATGTTTTATAAGTGTTATTTATTTTTTTTATATATGTTTTTAGATATGTGTAGATCTGGGTGTGGATATCTTGAATTTGTGTTTTCATATGGCTGAACGTGTCTATTTGGACATCATTGTTTCTTTACTCACAGCGTCCTAAGCCATCCTGTTGCGGCGTGGGAAGACACTTCTCTATTTTCTGTGGGCATTTTAAACCTCTGTGGAAAAAAAATCACTTTGGGGGCTTAGGGAAGTGAAATTAAACATCACCAGTAATTAGCTTGGTGATCTTCAACACTAGCCCTTTTATACCTGTATTTACCTAATTGACCATGAAATCTTTTGTGAAATCCATGCTTGACAGGAGCAGTCCTGCTTTTAAACTGACTAAGATGAATGGATTTATTGTGCCCTTTGCTCCTCTTTTTTTAATCCGGTGGTGCTGCTAGCCAACTTTAAGACAGATATTTCCAATCTGTGTTTATATTTGTTACCCCCATAGAAAGAACTAGTTCTTTCAGCGCGCTCAGTCGCGTGTCGCCTTCGTGATGTAATTTTCCTCTGCAAAGCAGTTGTTGGTCGCCTCTCCGTGGAGAGCAGCACAGTTGTTTGGGGCGCTCTGGAATCCGGAGCTGAAGAGCAGTGATATTTAACCCCATGCACAGGGTCCTACCTAGGGAGGTAATAGATGTGGCTTTCCAAAGAGCAGAAGCCCCAGAAGGTCCCGCGGTGCCCCTTGGCAGGAGGACGACCTATTCATACAAAAGGTCAGCTTGTCATGGATGCCGACAGCACCGGCACCAGCGCGGCGTGGCCGGGCTCGCAGAGCTGGCCGGGACGTGGAAGAGCCCTGAAAGTGATGGATGGCTTCTCCCCTGCTCACGCACTGCGGGAGCTGCTGAACCATGGCCACGCAGCAGGCAGCTCCTCCAGTTCAATAAGCAAAACCAAAATGCAAATGCAAAACAAAATGCTAGTTACAGCCACGTGGAAGGTGACCGGAGAGGTCCTGGTCTCTGGCTGGAGCAGGTCAGCAGGGGGGAAGAGGAGCGTGTTTGTGTGCTGCCCGTGTACCCCTCGGCTCCTTTGCCTTTTTAATTGTCACTAATAGACAGTGAGGAAGTGAAGTCAGCATGAATAATATTTTTATAGAGACTTTTTTTTCATACTCTCTTGTTTGACTTCAGAAAGAAAAATATTTAATGACAAAAGCTGTGGCACAGTACAAATGCCTGCAGAAAGTGTAAAGACTAAATTCATTAAAGCAGAAAGGAGAAATTTACTACTGAGTCACAGTCCTTCAGAGCACAGAAGCACCTGCATAACACTGACTACTGAACCTTGCTCTCCCCGCTGCCCTGCAGCCCTGTAATTACATTTCATTCTTTAACATTTTCCAGCACCAAATCCTTATTGTGCTTGTGTCTTTTTATTTATTTCCTATATAATTTTGGGAACCACATCAGATTTTGAAATTTTCCTCTGTAATGTTCAACACATTTTTTTTTTTCCAGGCTGTCATAACTATAGCTTTCTCTCTTTAGATTTGATTTTTTTTTTTTCTTTTAAGAAATGTATTTAACATGAAAAGTAAATGCTACAGGAAAGAGTACGTTTCTTGAAGTTAATTTTGCATTTTTTCATATTTTTTCCTATTGCATCTTTCATAGGTTGCTGGTGCAGATGCTCTGGAGTTAAATTTATCATGTCCTCATGGTATGGGGGAGAGAGGCATGGGCCTGGCCTGTGGGCAGGTAACACTGTAACTGCAAACTGCAATCTCTTTCATGTCTCTTCAGCAATCCTGCAGTACCACATTGATAGTTACACCTCAGGGGGAAGACACAAGCAGCAGATTACTAGCTTGAGATTTTTAGGTTGAATGTGTTTGAATATTTAGTGCTGAAAGCAAAGAGGGAAAAAAAAAAAAAAAAGACAGAAGCTGAGAATATACAAAACGCTTAGTTTTGCTGAGAACAAAAATACATTATGTATTTGACAAGGAACAAGATGAAAACAAATAATTTCCAAAAAGCACTTGGACAGAATTTGTTTGCTTCCATTTCAGTGCCCTGTAGATATCTTTTAGATCACAACCTGGTTACTACTGCTTATATCCATAATGATTTTGAAGGACATGAGATATACATGCATATCATTTCACAGTTTTTCACGTATGAACCTAACTGTATTTTAGTATCACGGAATATGGCATATATTCTGGTAGTGCCACCTACAGTTAATGTCTTCTCTCTTAGAAGAGCCTGTGCTCTGTAACCTATAGATTTGATGGTTTATACAGTTTAGGTTGGGTTTATCCGTGCCTGATGTCTCTGTTGTGTAGAAATCCAATGCAGAGTTTTATCAATACATCAGTGACTTCACTTAGGAGAATGTGTATTGTTTCACTCATGAAAAGAAAATAAACACACACAAAATCCAATTCTCATACTAATATCCTTTTGAAGTTTTCAGATTTTTTTCATATTTTGTTCACGGTGTGAAATTTGTTTTGGCTCTGAAACCTTCCCAAATGTGGGGAGCTTGGAAGTCTTTGAAGAATCTTGGTTTACAGTCTACCCAGAGAGATAGTCTTTAGTATGACCAGCAGCACTTCAGAAGTATGAAGCCTGTTTGATTTCTTATCTTACTATCTTTTGAAGGGGGAGAGGGGGAAGGAATAGGAGGAACATGTAGAGTGGGAATCATAATTACATGCCTTAAAGTTTGCACACACTATTCAGCTGATCCCCTTGAAGAGGGTCATCCTCACTTCCTCAGTGAGACACAAAACTTGTAAGAACTGAGATGTGGTTAAATAAGTAAACCATTACCTTTGTAAAACTTTTAGTATGGAGGCAATAGAAGCTGTAGTTGTTTCAGTGCAACTTGTGGACATACTTCCAGTATAACTTTATCCTGGCGATACTGTCAGGCACAGTACACTGGATGTTTTATTATTTTCTGTGAACAAAATGATGTCAATCTGTTCCATGCTATAGATTATTGTTTTTAATGAACGTAATCAGTATGCTTTCTGTATTGCCAGTGGTCACTTACCAAAGTTATTATTAAAAATGGGAGAGAATTATAAAAACCCTCCAGGGTCACACTGGCAAAATGGTAAGAGTTATTAATTTCTTTTCCTAAATTGCATTCACCAACAAAGAGTTATAGCAGCTCTTTTTATAAATTTCTGAAGCGATTCCCATCCTCCTCTCTGCAGAGTATAACTCAGTAGTTGGGATTGTCCCCACCTGAGGTGGCAGTACACTGTAGAATGGTGTGGTTTGGTCAGGGGAAGCACTGAAGATTTCACACAGGCTGAAACAGGCTTCTTTCAAGCATGCTGCTTCTTTTTTTTTTTTTTTTTAAGGCATATGTTATTTCCAGCTTTCACTGTTTGGAATAATATATGCATGTGAAGTTGCTTAGATGTGTAGTCAGTGGGGAGCTGTCTGGCTACATGAGTTTTTACATATCTTTCAGCTATTGTAAAATCAGAGAACCAAATGCAAAATCTGAGCACTCAGGGCTATCATGTGGATTTGTGACTCTCCTTGGAGGAGATAAGATCCATAAAGCAAGAAGAAGATTACATTATATATACATGTGTGTTTGTATAATAATAAAATTTCTCTTTTCCCTATACAATATAGATATTCTTTTGAATGTTTAATATGTACTACTCTTGCTTAAATATATTCTAGTGTTTTTCTTAACTACCTCAGCAAAATGAGAGCTCAAAAAGAATATGCTGCTTTAGACAAATGAACGAAACGAGTCACTTTTAGAGGGCTGAATTCTGAGGTTCATCCTCAGAGTGGGCTAAAATGAAATTAGAATTACTTTAAATGAAAAAGCAAACGTGAGGATAAACTGGATAAAATAACTGTATGCATGATGAGATTTATCAGTTGCTCTTCAAAGGGCTTCAATGTGTGGTGGACCCTGGATACACCCTTGTAAGACACAAAACCGCTAGGAAGTATTTTGGCTCTGCTCCAATATTTTATTCCCCCCCACACCCTGACAGAGCTGAGGTCAGATAGGTGGTATGGAGAAGAGAGGGCTCAGATATGGAAAAAAAACCACCACTCAATATCTAGGAGTCAAGGCATGAGGCTTTGAGAGACAGCAGCTTTCCTGGGTGTACTGTGAAGCAGGTTTTCTTAAATCTTTTGATAACATAATCAATATCTTCATAGGAAAATTTTTTCAGGATTAGGTCCTTTTTCATGCCTAAGCAAATTAAATCCTCAGGAAGCAACACAAATTGCTGAGATGAAAAATAATAGTAGAAAAACATGTATATGTACTTTTTCTATTTATAATGTCTAAAACATTCTGCCTTTTTGTTGTTGTTTAAAAAAAATGTGAAAGGAAAGGTTAATTACACTGTCTACTTTTTCTCCTTGTTTGAATTCCTATGGTGTGCCTAAGGGTAAGTGTAGAAATCTGGAAACATCACATTCATTTTTTCTCTATCCTCTTTTGTTATCTAGTCTCAAAACGGTTCCACTGTTTTGTACCACTCTAAATTTTTTAAACTCCAGATATATTCAGATTATATCTAAACAATTGATACTAAGCATGGCTGTTTGTTTTATACTGAATTACAGTTCCCAGCTTTTATTTGATTTTAATTCCAAGTCATTAGTGTAGACGCTCTGGCGCCCAAACAGCATAGCTAGCCAGAGGGTAATATTAAGAGGCATCTGTATTGCTGCCAATAAGTTACTTAAAGCTGGTTCTGTATAAAATGTCAATTATATTTACTAATGCTGATTAATGATAATAAAGTTAAGGTTTGTATTCTTTCATAACAGTCTGCAACTGTATAAAAGTTGGATATCATTACAAATGGTAATCAAATTTCCACCATTAGGTTTAACAGCACTAATGCACTAATTTTCTTTGAATCAAATAACGTAAGTGTACGAGGCATTTAATAGTAAACATAAAGACAACATGGTGAACAGCAGATTATTAAAAAATGACAGTATCACTTTCCCACTATAGTTCATTACTGTAGTCATTATAGCATAAAATTCTGAAAATAGTAAATCGGTCAAACACCTGAGATGGTAACACTCAATGGTGGTTTAAATTTTTATTTAACTTATCCCTCTAAAAGGTGGCATTAAGTATTCAGAACCATTACTGTGATGTGAAATCAACAAATTTAACTGTTTGACTTTTTGGTTTTGGTCCAGAAGTCATCAAGTCTCTCCAGCTGCTTCGATAAGAACAAATAAATTGTTGAATTGAGTCTGGAGGTTATTTTGCATTTCTGCTATGTTTTGTGTCAGTCTTTCTTGTTTGGATGAAATCCCAGGTCTAGTAATTGTGATGTGCATATAGCTAGAATCCTCCGTAAGACTGACTAGGACAAGTGATATCCAAATTCTTCAACAATATCAGTGAGTCTCCTTGGGCTACCGGTGAGCAAAAAACAATGGAGGCAAGAGAAGAGAAGCCTACAGCTGACTGAAAGGTAGTATTAAAGATGCTGGAAGATTAGCTACAAAGGAAAGATGATTCTTTGTAGTGTCAGATGATACAGCAGGGGGCAATGGCCACAAAATCCAGGCTGAACATTTCAGATTGGGCATCAGGAAAAAATATTCACCAAGAAGGTGATGCAGTACAGGAATGTTTTCTAGTAGGGCTGTGTGCTCTCCATCTCTGGAGTTTTCAGGTCTCAGGCAGGCAAATCCATGGCCAGCCTCAACTGGTGTTGGCACTAGCCCCACTCAGAGAGGGATTGTGGACTAGCTGCCCTCCAGAAGTCCATTCAGACAAGCATTTTTGTGATTTTTGTGAATTCATCCTGCTCAGTTTCTGTGCAAACACTGCATCGTTTGTACCAGGGATAGGAAGTGAGTAGAGAATAAATGGAAGCATGAGGACTTGTCTGTTCACTTGGGGTGAGGTGATCAGTATGCTAGGGAATTCTCAACTAAAAGCAACATATCAGTTAAATTTCTATAGCACAGAAGCTGCTTCTATACTTTTTTAAAAAACAAATCTCATATTCCAATCTCTCAGCCTAAGTGCAAGAACAGAGATTCTTTATGCTATAAGCAAATATTTTAAAAGTTAATGACATCGTGGCTTATAAATATTTCTCATTAATTAATCATATGTTGTAATCTCCAAAATATAAAAAAAAATCTTTGCCTATCTCAGCATTTTACCTGTAGGTTGGGTGATTGGGTTTTTTTAGTTTATATTGGAAGAGGAGTGTATATGTCTCTTGTGAGCACTGAAATCCTGATCCTGGTGGTTTAACTATTCAGTTCAGATGTAAAATGAACTTGCTTTGTGGTTCTTCTCTTACCTTTATTTTCATTTTACTTAAACTGTACTAGCTACAGCCTGTGCTCCTGGCTGTGTTCATGTTTATTGCCTGCAATTAGGAGGCAAGTTTCATAACAACCCACATTGCCTTGTTCAGAAGACAAATCTACCAAAAACAAAATAAAATAAATAAATAAATGTAAAAAAAAAAAAAAAAAAAGCCAAAGCCCCGGTTGCTCTGCAAAGATGAAAACTGACTGCATGGCACAATTAGATTTGCTCTGCTGTACCTTGGAAATAGGAAAGATGAGGCTGCTTTTTAATTGAAGTGCACAGCATAGCATTCTTATTCGCTGTTGCTCTGCCAGCAAGGAGCTTGAAGTATTTTAAATAAATGATGCCCCAAACAAAATTTGATTATATCTGTGTTCATGTAGCATTCTACTATCAG